GGGCAAAAGGATCACGTGAACGAACTGGAGATCTTTAGTATGAAGAAGAACATTTCTAGAGGTTACACAGTAGCACTTTGTGGGTATCTGAAGGGTTATCATGTGAAAGACAGTTTTAGCTTGTTTGTCTGGGACCAGAGGGCAGAACTAGAACCACTGGGTGGAATTCGATTTAATTCAACAATATTCTTTCAGCAGCTACTAGGTGTGTGTGGCTGTGTGTTGGACAGAAGTGGGAAGTCACAAGCTAAAGTAGCAGATATCTATGTAGAGCTTTGCAAAACCTTCACATACTTTATCTAACTTATTTATCACAACAACCCTATGACATGGGCACTATAGGTTTCTTGTTTCATTGTCGAGAAAACTACGAGTCAGAGAAGTGACAAGATTTGCCTGTGGTCCCAGAGCTCATAAATGTGGGGAGCAGAATTTTAGTTCACATCTCCCTTGTACCTTAAGTCAAATGTTCTTACCACTATGCCATGCTATCCAAAAGAGAGGAGAAAAATATAGTATGTGTGTGAAGAATGCAAAGTGGAATGTGATCTGGGCAAAGGAGAGACAAGAAAGGTGATAGAAAAAATTTGAGAGACAGAGAGAGTGAGATTAGTTCTGCTGGGGGAAGAGTCTGAGAAGACTTCATGGAAAAGCTGACATTTGTGCTATACTTTGAAGTCAAGGAGGGACTTCAACAGAAAAAAACTTAGGAAGATGGGATTCAGAAGTATGTATTCTAAAAATTGGGGATGGAGTAAGCAAAGATGTAGAAAGGGGAGAGGAAGAAAAAGAGGGAGTTTGAAGATGCAGAGTCTACAAAGGGGAATTTTAAGAGAGAAGGATGGGTGGGTTGTGCCAGATTGTGGAGGAGACTGTGTTTTTGAATTCCAGGGTCAAATTTTTAAACATTATTCTATAGCAGTGGGGAAAAGCTGAAGGTGTTTAAGTAGAGTAGTAATATGATCATGGCAGTGACTAGAAAGCAACATAGGAAATGGACTTGGAGGTAGGAAGACCTGTGTTCAAGTCCTGCTTCAATCACTCACTAGCCATGTGATACTGGGCAAGTCCCTTAACCTCTTACAGCCTTGGTTTCCTCATCTATAAAGTGGGAATGATAATAGCACCCACTTCATAGGAGTGTTGTGAGCTCACATGAAGTAATTATGTAAAGCATTTGGAAAATTGAAAACATTATATAAATGTTAATGATTATTAACCAGAGTCATAACTGACAATTTGTGCACTTAGGATGAATGACACAAAACATTCTCTAAAATATTCCAAGGGAGTTGGGGTTTTGGGTGGAGAGATGGCTGGTTGCTGGTTGGCAGATAGGCCTAGAAATTCACATGAGATGTGGTGGGTTTGGAATAACCATCTTATAGTTTCCTATTTTAACAAATTATTCTTGCTAACTAGATGCTAAGTTCATTTATTTCTAGGCCACTAAATAACTGCTAGTACTGTCAGGACCCTAGCACCCTCCCAAACTTAATTGTCCTGGGAAAAATCCTTTTTGCCCCATTCTAGTTACAGATATATGATAACCAGCCCTCCCCATTACTCTGACATATATTTACTATTCATAATGAGTTCTATGAACTCAAATATATACTAGTATAATATATAGTCAAATATACATAATCAAGTATTATTAGATACTCATACATGCTTCTACCATAAGAAAATAATTTTTGCTAGTGAGTGGTAGAGATATCATTTGTTAGTATCATAATTTCTAAAGTAGTAGAAGCATATGCCTCCATAAAGACCCAGTCTGTGTGACTAGAAGGATGGTGGCACACTCAAAAGGAAAAAAAAATAGTCATTTGAAGAAGGTGCAAATATAGAAGAAAAGATGGGTTCCATTTTGGATATTTTAATGGAATATTCTGATGGAGATGTCCAGTATGCAGTTAGTGATTTGGGACTAGAATTCAGGAGAGTAATTAAAGCTTGCTATGTATAGCTGGTAATCATATGCATAGACATTATAAGTGAGCCTGGAGGAACTGATGAAATCACCAAGAGAATATAAAGAGAAGAAAATAAAGCCCAGGACAGAACCTTGGGTACCACAACTATTTATTTATGTGCATGTTGTATTTCCCTGTTGAGTGTAAGATCATTGAAGGGACTATTTCCTTTTTTCCTTTGTATTGCTAGTACTCAACAGTGCCTTCTTGCACATGGTAGGTGCTTAATAAATACATTTATTCAATTGAATTTAACAAATGAAATTAATAAAGAGTAGTCAAAGAGGCAGAGGGGAAATCAGGAGAGAACAGCAAAAGATAGTAATCCCATCCTTAGCTCTGTATTGAAGGAAGGCAGCAGGAGGATAGAGAACTGTCTTGAAATCAGAAAGACCAATGTCTGAGTCACCTGGGACACATACTAGTTATGTGGCCCCGAGTAAGTTACTTAGCCTCTTATTAGTGACAAGGGTAGCTTTTTAAGACTGTATGATAGATGATGATCTACATTGGCAGAAGAACTTTCACAAGGAGCCTCTCTAACAATAAAATCACAAGTCTGGGGGGAAAATGGCAAGAATAAGGAAGGTAATAGTTCTACCATACTCTGCCTTGATCTGACCACATCTGGTATACCATGTTCAATTCTAGGTATTATATTTCTCAAAATATGGTATAATTTCAGGGTGGTAACCAATCACAATTTCAGGGGGCTAATGAATTTCTGAACAAAGACCTGATGAGCTTAGCATGCAGATTGAAACAAACATATTTAGACATGGCTAATACAGGAATTTATCTTGCTTGATTATGCATGATCTCATTCTCTCACATTTTCTCTAGCAAATTGTCCTCACTGTCACCCCTGCTGCCTACAAAAATGCCATGTCTCTTCTATTCTTTAAAAAAACAAAAACTTCTTACTTGATCCTACCATCCCCATTGATTATTGTCCTATATTCTCTTCTTATTTACTATCTTACTATTATCCCTCCTCCCTTTTGTAGCTAAATGTCTTGAGAAAGCCATCAGTGATCATGGCCTCCTTTTCCTTTCATCTCATTCCAATTGAAAGCCTCTTCAATCTGGCTTTCCAACTCATTCAATTGAAACCTGCCTTCTCTAAAATTACCAGGGATTTCTTAATAATAAAATCTAATAACTTTTTTTCAATCAACATCCTTCCTGATGACCTCTCTGCAGCCCTTGATGCTATTAATCACCTTATCCTCCTGCATATTCTTTCCTCTCTAGGTTTTTGTGACACTGTTCTCAATCTCCTTATATAGACCACTCCTTTTGAGTCTGCTTTGCTGGTTTTTCATCTACGTAGTGCCCAGTAGATATAGGTGTCTCTCAGGGATGTGATGGAGCCAGTTAATACCAGCTTCTAAAGGCCAAGTGTTAAATTTTCAGTGTAAGGATTTACACCTCAGACATCAGCAAGTGCTACAAATGAGAGCTTGATCTATTGTTTTGTTGGTTGTCTAGACTTAGTGGAGAAAATGTTAATGATGCATATTAAAAAAAAAGGGTATTGAGTATACTGAGCTTGTTGTTAAACATTTATCAGCACACTTCTAGACTATTCCTTCCTCTAGACATCACCTACCCCCTACCCCAAGGCTCGGTCCTAGGTCTCCTTCTCTTCTCTTTCTCTACTGTCTTCTTTAGTGATCTCACCAGCTTTCATAGGATCAATTATTATCTCTATACAGATGATTCCCAGATCTATTTTATCCAGCCTCTTCTCTTTCCTGAGCATCAGTAAATCCATCAGCAACTGTTTTTGGACATCTCAAACTAGATGTCTTGTAAACATCTCAAATTCAACTTATGCAAAACAGAACTCATATTTTCCCCATATTTTCCCTCCCTTCTTCCCAACTTCCCTATTACTCTTGAGGATACCACCATCCTCACATTCATCTAGACTCAAAACCTATTTCATTCATGACTCCTCACTTGTACTCATCCTACTTATCCAATCCCTTATTGGACCTTGCTGTTTGTTTCTACCTTCACAACTTTTCTTGCATATGCGCCCCTCTCTCCACACTCACAGAGTCACAACCCTATTTCAGGCCCTTATCACATCTCACTTGGATTATTGCAATAGTCTACTAACTGAACTCTCTGCCTCTAGTATCTCTCTGAAGCATGAATTTCATCCTGATCATCCCTTAAAAATGTCCCAACCCATTACCCCAATTCAGCTGCCAATGTGGTTCTTCTAAAGGATAAGTCTGACCATGTCACCCCTTACTTGGTGAATTCCAGTAGCTTCTTTTCCTATGAACTATTATTGGCATTTACATGATAACCTGATCACTTCCTAATTTTCCAGTCTTTTTATACTTTACTCCTACTGGCTATCCCTCATGCCTGCAAATGGTTGGCTGCCTCATAGATGCCTCTTAGTTTCCTGCCTCCTTTCAAGACTTAGCAGAAATATTACCTTCTTCAGGAGACATTTGCCAACCACCCCCACCCCACTTTATGCTAGTGCCTTCCCCTCTCAGATTGCTTTCCATCTACTCTCTATTTACCTGGCCATTTATATGTTGTCTCCCCCATTAGAATGAAAATTCCTTGAGGTCAAAGACCGGGTTTTACCTTTCTTTAGATCCCTAGCCCTTAGCATAATGCCTGGTACTTAGTAAAAATTTAATAAATGCTTGTGAGCTGACAGACTTACTTAAAATATGAGTTTTTTTGTGAAATTAAACTATCTGGCACAAGTACAGCTTTGGCCAGGTTTGATTTTATCATACATACATACATACAAAAATACATGTGTTCATGTATATGTGTGTATACATATATGTATATATGAAACAGAAAAACTGCTTGAGGCTCTGACAATAAATAGATATACTATAAAATTTATTGATAGATTTTTTTTGTATCTATAAACTTACAGTCAACTTTTTTCCAGATAATTTCCTAGGTTTTAATTTAATTGATATTTTAATAATTTTTTCCCTCCTCTTTTTCTTTACTTCTGTTTTGCTGATAAAGATCCACATCCAGAGAACAGAAGGATGTGACCACATGACCTGTTCACAATGTAACACTAATTTCTGTTACCGCTGTGGGGAGAGATACCGCCAGCTCCGCTTCTTTGGAGACCACACATCAAACCTCAGTATATTTGGATGCAAATATCGCTACCTCCCTGAGAGACCGCATTTAAGGAGATTAGTGCGAGGCTCAGTATGTGGTAAGTATATAACAAGATTTTCCAGAAGTCTACCACATGAAACAAATAATTGAAATATTAGTCTCAAATTTGTGAGCTAGAGAATCAAATGAAAATTCAACTGAGTTTATATAATTCTCTTTGGCACCCTACCTCCATTGTTTCAGTTAGACTATTTTCTTTTTCTTACACACAAACAAGAAATTAATTTGAAGTCCACACTTCACACAATTTCATTTCTCAGGTGCTGACCTTTTAAACTTTTCTTTGTAGGCATCAACAGCATTTGAATGAATTGATGTCTTTCAGAAAGTAAGGTGGTATTACACCTTTATGGGTAAAGAAGTATATCTTAAAAGATATGCTTGGGTTTTATAATCAGGATTTTGTCTCAGTTGCGTTTCTTTTGTGTTTTTCTCCATCTGTACTATAGACCGTTCTCTTCATGCCACTCTTGTTCAATGGCCATTGCTTTAAATTACAGAAGATTAGGGGCAGCTAGGTGGCACAGTGGATAGAGCACCAGCCCTGAAGTCAGGAGAACCTGAGTTCAAATCCAGCCTCAGACCAAACATTGACACTTACTAGCTGTGTGACCCTGGGCAAGTCACTTAACCCCAATTGCCTAAAAAAAAAATTACAGAAGATTAAAAAAGAAGAGGATTTTGCTTTTGTGGAAAAGAGGACCCTTCCTCCAAATCTATAAATCAAATACTTGCTATTTTTAGAATATTTTAGAGTATTTATGGGACTTTTATATCATGTTTCTAAAAACCTAGGAAACGTTTTCTTTGACATTTCCCCCACCTTTCTAATTTTATGACAAGTTTTTTTAACCAATTACATTGTGTTCTCAAATGAAGGTAACAATACAGACTTTCATCATTGGGATATGGATTTATTTGTAGAATCCATTTATGAATCCATTTACAGGCAGCTTATAACTGCAAAGGATGTATATATTGAGGATGCAATAGAATCCCAGAATTGGTAGAAATCTCAGAGATATGTTTCTATATGTTTCTTCCTTTTCACATGCCTCATCTCTACCTTACAGTTCTACCAAATTATTGCTTCATAAGACAAGTGTAATATACTTTTCTTAATCACATGCAGATAGGTTTTTTTAAATAGGCAATTTCTGTGTTTAGGAAGACCTATTCAAATAGGAACAACCTTCTTTAGCTGTATATTCCAACAAAAGTCCATTAAAATGTGCATTTGTGTTTCTTTGTTTATTTGCTCAATTGAGCATCCCAAATGTTCTTTTCAGTAAGCAAAATGTACAAAAGACACAAGCAACAATCTGGACCACTTGTGAGCCTCTTGTTTAGCTTATTCATTACCCAATTTTTATTCTCTCAAGTGGTAGAGAAACAGTATTGCTGAAGGGAGAATAAATTCTTCGTTCCACCTAATATGGATTAGTTTTCTGAAGGATATAGGCTTGGGGATGAATTTTCAATAAATGATGACTCATGAGATGGGTTATAGAAAGAGGAAAATGACTGCAAGTATCTACAGAAAGAACCAATGACATCATGTCACTAAAGAACCAAATTGCATGATCTGAGGATATTTGAGAGCCAGATAGGATACAGTCCTGGAGCTACTAAATTAGAACAAATATTAGAGATTATCTAATTTAGGAAACCCATGAACTTGAATGGGGGGGAAATTACATCTTTATTTTCAGTAATCTCTTAACTGACAATTTAGCATTTCCTTCAACTATGGCTGTAAAAACAAACACTATTATCAGAAAGTTTCCATAGGCTCAGACCACCAAACAGATCCATACACATAAAAAGAGTAAGAACCTCTAGTCTGATATGACCCTTCTCTGAAGAATGAATGCCCTCTATAACATTTTTAAAGAAGTGATTATCCAATCTGTACTCTAAAGCCTCCAGGGACTGAGAACTCATTAATTCCTAGAGAATCTTGCCTCATTTCAAGTGCATCTCTCCTTGAATCTATACTACCTCCTGTTGTTAGACTAATCTTACTAAAATCTGCTTTCATCCTATCATTTCTCTGCTCCAGAATTTGTGGTGACTTGCTACTGTATATCAAATCAGTTTAAAATTCCCTTCCTGATTTTGAAGCACCTCTATAGTCTGACCACATGTTAATGTTTTGCCACTATAAAAATGTATCCTTCATGGCTGTTGGGCTGATCTACTTATTATGCCTCAAAAACAGGGTTGTTATAGTAAAAGAGTAGTAAACCTTAAAGTACTATGTAGATGTTATAACAACAGTTGCTGCTATTATTTTTATCTCTCCACTGTGTTCATAGTCTTTCCCTCTGCCAAAACTGTCTATTCTACTTGAAGCCTTTTCTAATTTTATCAGCTCTTCTCCTTTCAAATAACCAAAGCCAGGGCAGCGAGATGGTGCAGCAGAAAGAGAATTGGCCATGAAGTCAGGAGGACTTGAGTTCAGATTTGGCCTCGGATACTTACTAGCTGCATGACCCTGGGAAAGTTACTTAACCCCAATTGCCTCCTCCCACCCCAAAAAAAAAATCAACCAAAGCAAAACATGCAGTTTAACAATAATTATTCCCAGGGGCAGCTAGGTGGTGCAGTGGATAGAGCACCGGCCCTGGATTCAGGAGGACCTGAGTTCAACTGCGGCCTCAGACACATAACACTTACTAGCTGTGTGACCTTGGGCAAGTCACTTGACCCCATTGCCTAACAAACTAAGCAAAACAATAATTATTCCCTATTTATTTCATGTATATTAGTTTTGTCTCCCTGCATAAGAGGTAAGTCCCTCGAGTCTAGGACCTTTTTCTTTCTTGACATATTTTAAACTGCATTTAACCTATTTATTTTTTAGTCTACAAAGGGTGCACTTAATAGCTTAGTCTGGTGTATAGAATAGAGAGATAATAATAAGGAGCTCTGGATTTCTCCTCCTAATCTTTATCGCTGTCATGTCATTAAACTTTCAAAAATGGACAGTGTAATGTTGTACTTATCCTCTATTACCTGGAGGTAGAGTCAGTGCTTGTACTTGAGGACAGTAAAAGAAATGGTGCCAGTCAGGGTAAAGAAGGGTTAATAGATTGTACATTGTGCTTTAAGAACCAATCCTTAACACCAGAATTACAAAGCCTCCTTTGGTATCTGAAAACTAAGGAGAAAAAAGTGAATCTGTTATGTTAGCTAGTCACATACACATAATGTTAAGCTGCTTTCTTTTTGTTGTTGCTCAGTCCTTTCAGTTGTGTCAACTTTTCACAACCCTATTTGGGGTTTTCTTGACAGAGGTACTGGAGTGGTTTGTCATTTCCTTATACAACTCATTTTACAGATGAAGAAACTGAGGCAAATAGGGTTAAGTGACTTTCCCAGGGTCACACAGCTAATAAGTATCTGAGGCAGGTTGAACTCATGAAGACAAGTCTTCATGACTCCAGCACTCTATCTACTGTGCCACCTAGCTGCTATATAGATGTATATACAAATATGCATATAGGTATATGTGTAGATATACTGTAACTGTGTGTATTTGAAAGTGATAGTATATAAATACATATAGGGATGGAGACTGGACCTGTGATTTTATGTATACATATACATATTTGCATATTTTTATGTATATGCCTACATAGACATATATGTGTCTATGTCTTGAAGTACTATAACTGTATTTGAAATGCATGCATTTTTCCTCCCCTTAAGTTGGTTTGTGTAAGTATTCTTATTCTTTAGGTCTGCAACTCAGGAAAGTTCTATTGTTCAATAAACTTTACAAAAGAGTAACAGCTACTGTGTATTGATGACTACACATTTCTTCCCTAATTGGTACTCTCCTTTTTCCTGGTTTTACTACACCTTGTCTTTCAAAGCAGTTTTGTTTCCAATAAGGAATAGTAGGTGCCTTGTCCAGAGTAGAAGCTCAATCAATGCTTGTTGAACTGAAATAAAAAATTGTTGGATAAAAAGGTAATACAGAAAATGTGATTTGAAGAGCCAATCTTGGGATTAGGACAAATTGGTACCCAGTAAAGTTTCTTTTCTAATTTATTGAATATCTATGATTCAGCACTGCAGTAGGAAAAGAGACTATGAGGTGTAATTATAAAACAGTGAAGCTGGTATTTTCATCAATAAGTATTTTTAAGTGTCTGCTATGTGCCAGACACTATGCTAGGCACTCAAGATTTGGAACTATGCCCAAAGGGCTATAAAACTGTGCCATGCCCTTTGATCCATCAATATCACTTCTAGATCTGTATGCTAAAGAGAGTAAAGAAGAGAAAAGGACTTATTGGTACAAAAATATTTATAGCAGTTCTTTGTGGTGGCAAAGAATTGGAAATCAAGGGGATGTCCATCAACTGGGGAATGGCTGACAAGTTGTAGTATATGATTGTGATGGAATACTACTTGCTATAAGAAATGATGAGCAGGATGGTTTCAGAAAAACCTAAAAAAAACCCTATATAAACTGATACCAAGTGAAGTTAGAAGAACCAGGAGAACATTATACACACTGGCAGCAATTACTGTATGATTATCAACTGTGAAAGACTTAGCTACTCTAATCCAGATAATCATCCAAGACAATTCCAAAGGACGCATAGTGAAAAATGGTATCTACCTCCAGAAAGAAAATTATTGAACTCTGAATGCATATTGAAGCATACTATTTTTTGATGAGGCAATCAGGGTTAAATGACTTGCCTAGGGTCACACAGCTAGTAAGTGACAAGTGTGGGAGGCCAGATTTGAATTCAGGTTCTCCTGACTCCAGGGCCAGAGCTCTATCCACTGAGCCAGCTAGCTGCCCCTGAAGCATACTTTTAAAAAATTTTCTTTATGTTTATTGTATTGTTTATGTTTTCTTTTGCAACATGGCAAATATGGAAATATGTTTTGCATGCCTTCTCAAGGAGGAAAGAGATACAAAAGGGAGGAGAGAATTTAGAACTCAAAATTTTAAAAAATGATTGTTAAAATTTTTACATGTAATTGAGAAATATTTAATGAAATAAATAAAAC